AATTTGTTCCGATATATTAAAAACCCTCAGTATTTTAGCTATTAACAAATAATTGGCACATAACTTATTAGCGGTTGTCAAAACCTCCTCTAGGCTTACATTAAAATGCAGAGGTCTTTCAAAATATCGAATTCCTCCTTTCTCTCACCTCATTGTGTTGAGCATGGCTATGTAAAATAATACTAATTACAGTCATTTTCATGAGCTGCTTCTCATTTATGCCTCATTAGCATAATTTGCAGTAGTTATCCATGCCATTAAATGAGTGTTAGTTACCTTTGCCGTATCTAATGATCATACTAAATTCGTTTTGGGGAGCTAAGCCTTCACACTTTGTTGCTCGTGTCCCATGATGGACTGCTTACAAAGTAGAAAAATTGGACAGAATGCTTCTGATAAGGAAAATGCAGGAAAGGCTCTGCAGAAGTAGGTATCTGAAAGAAGTAGGCTCTTGGGCAGCTGACAATGCAAGCCATCTGGTGACTAAGCAGTACATAACTTTGAATAAAGGACAAATAGGAAGATGCCCTTCATGATCAGATTAACAGAATTGTGAATGCAACATCTGCCCTCGATATTCAGTGTCTCCTTTGGCATAAAAAGTCTTGGACCTTGAAGCCCTAAATTGACTTAATTTGGCATGGGATGCATTCATGAGACTGTTACTTGGGGTTGTTTTAGTTTTTGCCCACCTTGCTCCAGGTTCAAGGGGAAACAGCATGGTGGCAGGAATTCTAATATAGGGGTCAGATGCAATAACATTAAAGAAAACGTGAAAGAAACAAAACAAAAGAAAAAAAATGAGTCTCTCTTTCATCTGGATTGCTAACTATCTGTGTGACCCTGGGAAAGTCCATTTACTTTTCAAGCCTGTGTTGTCATCTATGAATTGAGAGGTTTAGGCTAGAGCCCAAAATAGTTCTGGAATGTAGAATATGACCACTTCTGAAGGGACAGTTCTAGGACGTGTTTCTTGCTTCACGGATGAACTATTTAGGAGTTAAAAACTAGGCAAAAACATATATATTTATGCTTCTCAGTGCTACAACTGATTCCAACCCAGGGCTCTACAAGCTATTCTTTGTTCGATGGTGGTGGTTTGTACTTTTAATGTCTTTCTTCCATAACTTTTTGAAAAATATTCAAGTGACTGCTATCATTACTAGGTGACAAACGGTTTGGAAATAGAATATTAATTTAAGAACTGAGAAATAATATGAAAATTTAAACTTTTTAAATAGATCTGAGTGTACAGAGTTGATGTAGTTATTTTGGGTGATTTATCGAGAACTCACATATGTGGCTTTGCCAAGCCCTGTGTACTTTTTATTAAATATTTTCGTTGGCATAGCAAAAACTGCAATCTTAAACTCTCCCTTTGGAAGTATTCATATGCCAAACTCTACAGCTGTAATTGGCCTTAATCTAACCTTCTCATTTCATAGGTGAGAAATGGTTCTTTTTCTGTGTTACGAGGTCAAAAGCATCAGGATCCCATGATGTTCGTTCTACATAGGAGACCAAAATAGTCAGTCCTCTGTTCCTTGAGCTGATTTGAAAGGCAGAGTCCCCAAAGAACTGAGTTTATCTTCATTTTTCTAACGAGAGTACTAAAGGTTGGTAAACTATAACTTGCCCAAGGTTACAGCCAATTCATGGTGCTCCCAGGGACTCACAAGGAGTCTGACTCTTAGCTTAGTTATAATGTATCCCTTTCTAATTTGGACTTCTTGCCAAAATGCCAGTTCCCTGAGTTTGCTTTGTACAGAGGTATCCCCAGAACCTCGAACAGGGCCTAGCATGGCAGGAGCAGGTGGCCAGCCAGTGACCCTATGGATTGTTTTGTCCCTCTCCTGATTCCAGCAGGTAGCCATTGTTTGTTCATGCAAGATGCCTAAGGATGTCCAGACCATTGGTAATAGAGGCCCAAGAAAGAGAGACTAAGAAGATGGTGATTCCTTCCTGGCAGTCCTGACTTCTCAGTTCAGGATGTTTACTAGAGAGCAGTTTAGCACTGGAGGAAAAACCAGCCATTTCATATGAATTAATGAGTCTGCTTCTAAGCTCTAAAAATGACAAACTTCGCAGTTCTCTATCCCTTACTCTCCTGCCTAACTATGTGCGTTTCTGTGATTTAATTGTCCAGGAAACCTGCTATCCATCTACTCAATTGCCTTTACGTCTCATCAGCAATTTGACTTACCCTCTTTGCATTTGGGATCATGATTTCCCCAGTTGCAAAGAGTTTTGGAAAAGGCAGGAAGGCAAGCTTGGAGCTCAAGAAATAATAAAGAATAATACTGTAATCATAACAATTCATTATTTGTTTTTGAAGTTTGATCTTTCAGAAGGTTGTTATCTGGAGTTGAATACTAATAGATCCAAGCTCTCTCTATGCAGAGGAGATCTTAAACAACAGTGTACATGGGGAAGGACATTAATCAGGAGAGAGAAGTGAGCCTTGAGTCTAATAATGTTTGCATAATAGCTACCCTTGGGTGTATTTCTTGACTTAAGAATAAATATCCCTGCTTTCCATCTCTAGTACAATTGGAAATTATTCGTGGTTATGATTCTGTTATGTGATCCTCTACCTGTTCATGGGAACTTTAAATCGGGAGGCTGCTGGAAACCAACAAGCATAGCAATACCATGAGTGAGTCTGGGGTAGACATTTAAAGAGGCTATAATATTGGGCAATCTGGAGAAAATGAGCAGAGAGCAGGTCATAACTCTCTTTTCAGGAGGGGGAGGCTGGGGTCAAACTGGCATGGTTGATATTTATATGCTTTTCTGGTTTCCTTTTACCTCTGCGGTGGTTTCTCACCACCTGCAGGATAAACTTCAGTGCCTCATCTTGACAGAAGAGGTGCTCACTGGGGGGGTTCCTGCAACTTGGCAATATTTGTCTGCAACCGTTGTTCCCCACCTTAGGGAAGATGATGCACAGCTCTTCGCAGGTTCCCTTAGGCATCACAACTTAACTTCCATGTCTTTGTTCAGATCCTGCCTTCATCTTGCAAGGATTTTCCAAATCTTCTTTGCTAATTAATTCCACTTACCATGGAAGAGTTGGCTTAAATTTCACCTCCTCCAAGAAATCTTTGAACTCCACAGCTAGCCAATAAGTTTTTCCCCAGATTCTGATATTTTTCTTTCTTTTCATTCTTCTTCTCTTCCTTTCCTTTCCTTTCTTTTTCCTTTCTTACTTCCATTCCTGCTGCTCCTCAAATAGAATTTGTTCTGGGTAATTCCTTTATTGCATTGATTTGTTGTGCTTATACGCATGAAATTTTATACACAAGTGCTTTAAATTAATGAGCTCGTTTTTTTCTTTTCTCTCTCTTTTCTCTTTTTTTCTTTTCCTTTTAATTTCTGGGGAAAGTTTCAATATAATCTTGAAAAAATAAGCACTCTACTGTTCGGAACTTACAAAGCTTTTGTTTGTTGGTTTTGTTTTTACATTAGAGAGATGAGCGGGATAGCTATAAATTTTATTTTACAAATAAGAAAATTGATTCAGAAACATTGCCTTGTTAAACTTACATGTCTGCTAAATTAGGGATTAGAATTAGACCCTAGTCCAATGTCTTCTTTTTTTTTTTTTAAAGATTTTATTTTTTAATTTATTTTCAGAGAGAGAGTGTGCTTACAAGTGAGCGGCCTACTTGTCACAATAATGCAGGTCCCTGTGTCTAGTCCAGACCTCTGTCCAGTACAGCTCCACTAGCTCTGTGAGGCCTGGAGAAAAGGGAAAGAAATAGTCTTTATAGGTTATCAAGTTCATAGTGTTGTGAAAAGGCACTGCATTGAGATGTCTGGGTGGCTCTGTCAGTTAACAGTCCAACTCTTGATTTTGGCTCTGGTCATGATCGCAAGGTGGTGAGATCAGCCCCAAATCAGGCTTTGAGCTCAGTGGGAGTCTGCTTGAGATTCTCTCTTTCTCTACCCCTCAGCCCCTCCTGCTCATGCTCTCTCTCTCTCTCTCTTTCTCTAAAATAAACAAATCTTTAAAAAAATCAAAATGAAAAATAAAATGACACTTTGAGAAAGAAAATTTACATTACTTTCTTCTAAAATTTTGTGCCATTCAAGCGTTAAAATAATCCATTTTTTCGGTAGGTCTAGAATCTAAGTAGTTATTTTTCCGAAGGGACCATTTCCAACAGAATGCACGTGTTCCCTTTAGGATCCAACACCGTCATTAGGTGCTCACGCATCCTGTCCTCTCTCTGCAGTCCCCTCCTGTCCCTCGTCCTCTACCTCCCAAGTACAAGTGCACTTGTACCTGCACTTCGATGCCCCTGAAGGTACATATTTTTACAGTTAGATTAGGTTTCCTAATACTTTGAGTTCTTTCCATAAGAGTCACCCGTGGATTAGATGCTGACCGCATGGCTATTTTCTTGAGAACATAAAGAACATACATGTTCCCTCCTCACTACCTCCAGTCCCCTTCCTTTCCATAAGAGTAGGTGTTGTCTGTCACTGCAGAGCAAAATTATTAGTGATTTTTGGAACCCCAAGAGGACAGAGTGCAAGGAAGTGGAAAGAAGGGAGCAGAAGCAATCATGGTTAAGCACCCAGCCCGCCTAAGTAGAAGAGTTGAGAACATCCACATGACTTCATCGGTCATTTCAGTCATTCTGTAAGATTTAGACTTGCTTGTTGGCAGATGTGGAAACCCGGCTCTGAGGGTTTCCATGATTCACCCAGAGCTGGTGTCGGAGCTAAGATTTGAACCTAATCTCTGTGGCTCCAAGCTTCGTGAGGGGGTATCGTGGTAGACTCTAGAATGATGGATAGAATGGGTGCCAGGGTAGTGAAGGAATGAAGAGAGAGCTTTTCCCTGTTGCAAGATTCAGCCTTTGGCATGCTTCTTCTTCCCTGATTCCTGCCTCAAATATAGACTATTTCTGCAAACTATGGATCCAGCCCCTTGGGATATTTAAATGAGAGGGTCTTCTACTAATGGGACATCTCTCTTTTGTCTCCCACAGCAATTTTGCAGGCAGTAATAGCTGGTGATCTTATGAAGGTAAGCTATCTTCCTACCCACACTTTTGGTGATTCTTCAAGAACTTTAACATCAATCATTTCTCACCAAGTTTTCGTGATCTCTCATGTGTCATACGTCATCCCCCTGCCTGTACTAGCTGAGTTGGAGGGGGAAGGGCACTCTTTGGAGAAGTGGGCAGAGAGGGCCAGAGGAGTCTTTCCAGCATCTCCACATTGCCCAACAGCGGAGAACATATGCAGGGGTACCATGCTGGTTGTCTCGACTAATTAACACGGGTGGCATGTGGCCCAGGTGCAGTGCTCACGATGTCCAGAAGCGGATTATTTGCAATTGAAAGGTTTCTTTTTAGACAGGTCTTGAAATGAGTGCATCTGTAAGAATTACCTGGACAACACCCAGAAATACATTCTCCAGGCCAGAGCCTGCAGCTTCCAACATTATTACACTTTTGTACTCGGGGGATCACAGCTACCCGCAAGATGCTCCATCTGATCTCCCTCCAACACTTTAATTCATGCTTACATTTTCTTAGTTCAGAGGAAGTGGTCGCTGCTGCCTCCAGAGGGAATGCACATTCTGGAGTCAGACTGCTGGGCTTCAGATCTTGGCTCTGCCATTCACTGTTTGTGTGACTTTGTATAATTATCTCATTCTCCCTGTGCCTCAGTTTCTTCATCTGTAAAATTGAATAATGTGGCCTCTCTCCTTTGTTGTAAGGATTAACTATAACAATACATGCCAAGCTCTTAAGACTATTTCTATTCCATAGAAGGGACTCTAAAATGCTAGCAGGTAGTGTTAGTCTGTGTTTTTTTAATAAACAAAATGGAGATGCAAATACTCATTACACAGTATAGTCCATGAGCATTCTAAACGCTACATTTGGTCTCCTGTCATTTTTCAGGCACTGGGACTCATGAATGCCCATATATCCCTGTATAACCCACACTGGCATTGATCTGCTCTGTAATGTTGGTAACTGCGTAGGGCACAAGGCCACCAGCCTGTGTGGAGTGTGGTGCCATTACAGATCGAGAAACCAGACACCTTAAAAAGAGAGCTGAGAAGCAATGACCTTGCATGCAAGTTCTTTCAAAGCATCTGTTGAATCCACGGAGAAACCCCTGTGCTACCGTGTTAACAGGTTACTGACAGGAAAGAAATGACACAAAGGGTGCAAACACGTTGATAAGCTGCCATCTTTAGACACATAAGCCCGGACGTGGGGCTTGTGGCCCTGTCTGCATCTAGGAATCATCATCCACAAGCAAAACGCACTCGCCAAGCAGTGTAGCTGGGAGTTCAATGTTGTTGCCCAGCCGTGGACCGAAGCAGTATTATCCTGGATACCCTGCAAGGCCCTCTGTTAAATGCCCTTGCAGAGCTTCTAAGTGGAAAAAAGTGTGCGAACTACATTTGAAATCTTATTTCATCTTGCATGTGCTTTTAGTCTAGGCAACATATTTTCCAGGTCCCCGGGTACGTAACCCCACTTTTCTTGTACTTAATAGAGGATTATTTGAAATGTGGGAAATGGCCATATTCCATGGATTGTCTTCATTACAATCATTTCCTAAGTGCCTAAGAAAGTACTCAACCTTATTTATTGAGAGTTGAAAGGCAGTGACATGGAGTTTTTCCTTCTCATTCTTTTTCTCTCTTTCCTTCCCAAGTGTTTCTTCCCGTTTTCTTTTCCACCTTCTTCTGTTTGTCTAGTCCGTGGAGAAAGCAGAAGAAATATTAAATACTAAACCGTGTGTGTGTCTGTAAGAGAGAGAGTACACAGCAGACAGCAGAGCACCGAGACCCCAGGAGCCGTCCAGCTGCTGGGAATGGCTGCTGTGCCCCCGAGCTGCATAAGATACCCACGGACTACCCGCATGTCCGCGGGGTCCAAAAAACCCACAGAAAGGCAGCATCTGGGCCGCTGACGTATTGGGTCTCTGCTACTCCGTTGAGCCCAAATCTCCACGGATCTGCCTAAAAAGAAAAGGAGTGTCCTTGTAAGACGGATGTTGAACAGTACTGGATATGCATAGATTCTTTGTGGAAAACTGTTAACTACCTCTTGCTGCCCTCTAGCCTCGAAGTTTAGGGATAAATGTCCCCGTATGTTCTTTACTTCCAATCAACTGTTCGTTTTTGGCCTATTTTCTAGAAAGCCTTCCCCGACTCTTTTTTTCACCCTGTGATAAACTCCTTATGTTCTTCTCCATCCCTGCATGTGTCTTTGACATCTGTCTTCCCCGTGGATGGCAAGGTCTTGAGGCCAGGGACTGAGTCCTATTCATCTTTGTTTCCCTGGCATCTGTCACATGGCGGTTCCATGGTTGGAGCTGAGTGAGACCATGAACTATGAGTCTACTTTCTTTGACCTTAGGAGATGCTTACTTTTTTTTTTTTTTAAATAATGTGCCATCTAGCTTCTTGGTGATAGAACCATTCCTTTTGCTTGGTACCTCCCGGCTTATTCTATTCTTCTTTGTGCTAAAACTACCCATTAGAAGTTCCAGAAAGACTCTTTTTGTTCTCCTATACTGCAGGTTGGAGAACGGGGACCCATTTACACTTTCTGTAATGTTCAGTATTTCATGAAATGAGACCACATCCTCATTCTGCCATGTGGTTCTCAGGCTACAAAATCTGTTGGTCGTTTTCCAGTCTGTTCTCACAATATAGGTATTTCAGGTTTCTCCTGGCCCATTCTCTGAATCCCTTGGGTTCTCGTCCTGTGGATCCTCTCTAGCCTCACTGGGTGCAGGTGAGATGACTCGCAGAAGGCGTGCCGGCTGGCCTGCAGATCTAGAAGAAGAAAGAGGCTGTACACACGTGTGCCACCGTCTCCCACGGGAAAGGGGGAAGCAGCTTCCGCATTTGGTAGCTAGATTCATTAGAGGCTGGAGAGAAACCATAGGCTCGGGAAGGAGCTTAGCTACCAGACACCAAGCTATTCCTGTCTCCGGCCCTAATTACTCTTTCACTCAAGAGAAAGCCGAGCCAACATAGGAAAGCGTTTCTTCTCTTTGCTGCCCTTCACACTCTCTTGGGAGAGCGACCAGTGCCCAGAAAAGAAAAAGACATCAAACAGAAAAGAAATAACTCATTCAGCACGTTTCAGTCTCCTTGGGCTGCTCAGTGCCCGCAGACCCTCTCCGGAGGGAGGGGAGGCAGACGCCGGCCCGCCAGCCGAGGGCTAACACGGTCCGGGAACGTTGCTTCTTCCCTTTGACTTCCCCGTGTCCTCTGAGGCTAGAAACACTTGTGGTTTGCTACATCGCTCTCATTTTATAACCGGTTAGCTGTACTTCCCCTTGTTCCGGACTCTGCCTGAGCTGCTTTTCCTGTGTCTCTTTCTCAGCTAATGGAAAGCTATAAAAATGGAGGCAGTCTGCTAATTCAGGGCCCGGACCACTGCTCCCTCCTTCACCACGCAGCCAAAACCGGCCACGGGGAGATCGTGAAATACATCCTGGACCACGGTAAGTAGGCGCCGCGAGCCAGGGGGCACTTCTCCACAAAGCAGCTGAGCTGTCGAAGCGGGCTGGCTCCCCGGCTATCCTCGGAACAGCAGAAACGCTCCCCACCTTTTAGCCGACACCCCTGGCTGCTGTGAAGCAGACAGAACCACGGACCGCCGACCCATATGGGCCGCCGTGACCCAACGGCTCCTGTAAGAATTCTCTTATCAAGGTCTTCGAGGGTACTGGGGAGCTGACTGATTGAAAAATAAAAGACAAGAACAAATCCGTCCTGACATAAGACACTGGATTGTTTTGGGAAGAGCTTTAAGTTGCCTAGTTGGGACCAGGTACCAAACCCATGTTTATAGCTCATCACTCTGAGGATTACATGAGCACGGTTTTTTCCCAGCTTTTTGGCTTCTCTCTCTCTCTCTCTGTCGTTTTTCCATTTGAATCTCATGCATCATTTCAACTTAAGCCACACTTCATTCTCTTTGAAAACACCTGCGACTCTCATGTCTTCCATGGGTAGATCATTGCTAGAAGTAACAAGCACCTTAGCATCTTTCTCTGATGGCCCCATGGCGGCATAAACACAGGGATACATCCCAAATCCTGACCATGATTATCAGCTTCCCACGTTTATAGGGTTTCTAGGAATTAAGAGCTGGAGTACAGGGAAAAGTCTCCCTGGCTTAGCTGTTTTTGAAACAGCCTCTAGCTTTGCTAGATGTAGGTGCAGAGAGATCCTAGAAGATTTTCTGTGAGCCCTCGCGGCGAGGCTGTGCTATCCGGATTCAGGCTGAAAAAAGTAAGTGTATTAGTAGACCTGCACATTCCTTTTTGCTCCTCTTTTTTTTTTTTTTTTTTTTTGAGGGAGAGAGCGCATGAGAGAGCACGTGTGCATGAAGGAAGGATGAAGGGAGAGAAAGAGAGAGAGAACTCAAGCAGGCACCACACTCAGCACGGAACCCAGCATGGCGCTCCATGACCCCGAGGTCATGACCTGAGCTGAAGTCAAGTCACACGCTTAACCGACTGAGTCAGCCAGGCGCTCTGCTCCTGTTTTTATTCGGTTCAGCCAACACGTCTTGTAGTCAGCACATATTTGCAGAGTGCTTAACAGGAGCTACCTGTTACAGACCAGTGTGTACACACACACACACACAATACAGTCACTATTTTTAGGCAATTAAGGCTAAAAAACATATAATCTAATGCAGAATTCAATTGAAAACAGTTCTATATAGGTGTTTTAAGTCCTGTTGTAAAGCCACAGGCACATGACGTAGCTCCCAGTTGTCGCACACTTGCTGTCTTTCAGATGTTTATACTAAATGTCCTATCCTTTAATGTTTACAAGGACCTTACAAGGTAGGTATTCAACTGTCAAGGACGTTTGACTCACCTTGTTTTGTCTTCAGTTCCTTCTCACCATGATGAGTTTGCTTGAACCCTTGGCCTGAGTTATGGTGGAGAGAACGGTTTAGGAGAAGGAAAGCATGTTAAAGCAGATTGGGGATCATTAGACCATCTCTTTCCCCCTTGTAGGCTGGGCTGGACAGTCCCAAGCCTGTCTATGCTGGAAGGCCTAGGTGGTAAGCTGTATTCCCTGGTGCCGTGTCAGGTATATGCATCTTTTCATCTATTGTTCCCCTACACATTCCACCCACTGCAGTGAAAGCATTTGGGGTGGGGTGGGGTGTCCAGGCTTACAAAGCAAGGGGGGCCTAAGTTCTGCTTGCCTCCTTCATGAAAAAAAAATCATAGGTGTTTTCTCTTTCCCACAGTGACCTCTCCAAAAGCTGGCGAGAGGCAAAACCAAATGTTAGAACCCAGCCCCATACACAACACATAAAGTCACAGAGCTTCTGTGATTATCTTTCCCTTAATCAAAAAGATCTCAGGATTTCTACCACACAAAGTGCAGATGAACTTTAGCTACCCATACTGTCCGTTTACTTGTCTTTAGCTCAGGTTGAAGTGCTCCCGGTTGAAGTCTTCTTGACCATTCTCAATCCTTTCTTCCTAATTTTTGTCCTTTGCCCAATGAGATTGAATGCTTGCTCACATAGCTTAACCCGTTCAATACCTACAGACCCTCTCCCAAGTTAGGTGAGACACTGGCCATCTATTTGATTGCTAACACAGTTTAGGAACTCTCTCTCTCTCTCCGCCCTCCCTCTGCCTCTCTTGAAGAGCTAATGTTCCCTCCCTACACATACACACACACACACACACACACACACACACACAGAGTTCTGGAAACCTCCTCAATTAGTTACCTATTGGTGTCTCCCTTGGTCTCACTCACAAGCTGCAATTATGACTGAGTCTGTCTTAAAGATGGAAACTTCCCCACATGTTTGAGTTCTCAGCTGAGAATGGCCGGGACATCTGAGCCTCCCTCTCTACCTGTCCTTTTATCCCAGGCTTCTTTATAGCTTGATAGTCCTAGAGTTCCAGGCGGGTGAGGACAGAAGCTTCCACATGTCCTGAGGCCAGGCTGGAAAGTTCTGCATTATCACTGCAGCATTCTGCTAGCTAAAATAGGTCACAGAGCTGGCCGTGACTCAAGGGAGGGCAAAGTGGCCTTCACTGCCCCATGAAAGGAGCCGCAAATAATCTGTGGCCAGATTTAACCTACCATCCTCCCTTACCCTCTGTCTTCTTCAGTTGAAAATGATGAGCTTGCTTCTCAGTATCCTGAATTACTGTCCCACCTAGAATCCCCTGGACCTTGGCTTTTATATTTTGCTTTGGTTCTGGGTCCTCAGGTTGATTAGCAACAATAATTCTTTCTATTTGCAAGTTCTTCAACAACAACAGTTTCCCCCTTTCTAAGCCTAAGTATGATCTGTGCAATATTTGGGACATACTTACACTAAAAACAAAACCAAAACTCCTCTCCTCAGTTGCATGCCCCCAGGGGCATGAGTGATGAGACATGGGATGATATTAGTCTAAACCATAGATTTTCACTTCCCCCACCTTTTCCACTGCCTTAAATAACAGGGCCTCTGAAAGGTTGCCGTTTCAAACCCCACCTGTGGTTTGGTGCACGCATCCTTTGCCCCGCACTGTATCAAGCTGGTATGTTACTCTCTTAGTGCCATAACCAAAGCCTGACGTTCCAGTACTAAACTCCTTTCTCTTCCATCCCCAACATCTCTTGCAAAGGGTGAATCACACAATACAGCTCGCTCTCTCTGTCAAAATGGAAGGACAACAAAGCAATCTGTTAATTTTGGGGGAGGTGGGTGTTTGTTTTTCCAGTTTTTTGGGGGGTTAGATTTTATAAATTAGTTGGTTTAGTATTTATGATAATGAGAAAAGCAAGTGGAGATCACCTGACCTCTACTTCCCTCACAGGCAAGCAGTTCCCACGGTCACGGTCACAGTCACAAGAGGCCTCTGATTCCCTCCCCACCTCTCCAGGGTCTCTCATTGGCCAGTACATACCTGAGAGAGAGACTAGAGATACGAAGCACACTCCATCTTTCTGTGTGAAAATAAAATCTCGCTCTGCTCTCCAGTCCAAGAATCAGGACAGTTTTAAGGGATGGTGGTTTTTAGCCTTTCAGTACTATAGTCAAATAGTGGGAACTAACTCGTCGTTGATTTCTTACTGAAACCAGCATTTATCAACCTACTAGGCACTGTCGATTTCAGCCTTAACGCTGATCTCCTTATTTCTACTTACTCAGGAGTATTCCTGAAGCTCTCTTGACATGGCCCGCCTACGTCAGCAGGTTCCTCAAGAACTGAGTGCTTCAGCTCCCCTGTTTTCATTGCTGCCGTTCGTTTTAACCTCTTCAGTCGCTGATGACAATTTAGATCAGCCTGTACATGTGGAGACTGCAAACTCTTTTTTGCAGAAAAATTTGTCTCTTTTAAATGATAGACACCCCTGTAAATTATAGTGTTCTCAGAGGCAGGGACAAGCTCCTGGGAAGCATAACCCTTTCTCTGCTCTGTAGCAATCCTCTTAATGGGACCCCTGCTCCGTGAAATAATCTTTCCTAATTTTATGTCATGGCAGCTCTAGAATCCCCTTGGTCTGACAAGGAAAACAGCCTTTTCCAAGAGGCCTCCAGGAGGCCGGGTTTCGGAATGTACAGCAGCCGTGGCAATGTGTTTATAAACGGCCTCAGATTTGCGGTAGACAAGTCTGATCAATTTGAATTCATGTAAGTGGGAAAAGAGTACAATTTTACCTGGTACCAAAGATGGAGAGGGACATTTCTCACCCATCTCCAGTGCTGCAAAACTTGTAAAGTTTTAGTCTCTCTCTCCCTCTTTTTTTTTTTCTAATCCGGTTTAAGTCTTTCCTGTGGCTTCACATGATATAAATCGTAAAGTTTGTTCAAAGTTGCCTTCTTGACAAGGGTTCTGAGAAATCCGTGGGCCCCTTTCAAGGGGCCTGCGAGGGGAGGGGCTTCTTTGCACCCTGCACCCTTGCTCAGGTGGGAGCCCCTCTCCCCTCTGCTTTGCCCCCCTCTTCACAGGTCATTTATGGTGAGCAGTAGGGCCCACAGTCAGGAGGATGCCCCCCCTTCCCCCCTGCCGAACAGGAGTCGTGGGAGATGAGTTGTCTTCCCAGGCTCCACACTAAGCAATGTCTTTCTCATCTAAGCGTCTTTTAAAACCGGGCTGTGGGCGAGGGGCGGGAGCGTATCGCAGGCTCTGAAAAGCCACAGGCGGCTTGAATTTTTCTCTGTCCTGCATCTTCTTTGGGACTTTCTCTCAAATGCACAGCCTGCTGATTTCCTTTATGAAAAACTGGAATTTGGGCCTCGGGAGGGTTGCAGAGAGAATGGAGGAGGAAGGGAGCTAAAATTCCACCGGGACAGGGTGGAGAGGGAAGGACCCTGAGGGGGTTCCAGCCCGGGTCCCCCAGTGGTTCCTGCTTTTCAGCTCCTTTCAACCATATTTTCTGCCCACTCCCTCCTCCCTCCTTGTACCCCTCCGAGAGACTTTTGTGTTGCTTTAGGCTTTTACCACCCCGCACATTTTGC